TCAGTTTAATAATTCAGCAAATGCCTTGAGGAGAAACCTAGTGATGTGTGTGGAGCTCACGTCTCTTGAGCTTGATCCCTCAAGTCTTGGCTATCTTGGCAGCTCTAAACTTTAATTTTTGCCTTTCCAACCCTGGGAGATTGCCATATGCTCTCCTGTTTTCTCTGCTTCTCATCAAAATTTTTCTGCCTGGATTTTTTCACCTTTTGCTCCATACGATAAATGGGGAAATGCCCTAAGGAGAATCATATTTTGGAGAATGTTACTCACTTCCCCATGATTCCATTGTCTCTGATATTTTGGCCCTTCAAGTCGTGGCTACTTCAGTGTATCCACAATGCTTTTAAACAGATTTTATTAAATAATCTTTGGCTCTTATAATGATTGTTGTTTGTAGGATTACTGTTCTGCCCCAAGCTACTCTCCACAGTGACAAAGAGAAGTCCTAAAGGTTTTTGAAAAGTTTACTTTGTACAATACTGAGATCTATATTTATTCAAAGGTTTTTAATAAATTGGAATTTAACACAAAAATTCCTATGATAGAATTATGGCGCTAGTGACCATGGAAAAAGAACTAAGTAAAATTTTAGAGGAGACCTGTGCATGCCACCTGCACCTGGGGAATATCTCCTGCCTTATGGGATGCTTAGTCCACACCTCTATGTCTCCAGGAGAGCTTTGTAGAGTTTTAAAAAAAACCAATAATTCTGCATAAAGAACTATGTTATTCCCCTTGTGTTTTGTAAATACCTCTGTATAGTTCTCATTCTTGATATATTAAGGAAACTGAATATGTCTCAAATTTGTCTTTTCATCAATCTCATCATCATCCTATTGGGACAATCATGCATAATCCATCCAGTAAGATCTCTCTTACCTACTTTCAGACTAAGTTAAATTATACAATCTACCTACCTTCGTACTCCAAAGAACCCTATTTTACCATTTTATGGGAATTTTCCCAGTGCACTGTGGGTAGCTGTTTACATATATTCCTCCATGTGAACTGTCAAATTCCTGGAGGGAAGTATCTAAGCTTTTCTTTTTATTTTTTCTTCCCACTCCTTATAATAACATCTTTTTTTGCAATAACCATTTGAATAAATGAATGAATAAGTGAATAAATGAGTCTCCTCCTCTTCCCTTCAGTGTATTCTAGGTTCCAACCATCTCAGTCTACATACCTCTCCCCAGAAGAGTTCTTTATTTTCTTATTCTGAATCTTCGTTTCTGTCTTGTCATCTGTAGTGGGTTGAATTGTGCTCCCCCCAAAATATACCCAAGTTTTAAACCCTCATAACTGTGAATGATAGAAAAGGATTGGAATGGAGAAAAGGATTTTGTAGATATAATTAAGCTAAGGATCTGGAGATGAGGTTATCTTAAATTAGAGTGTGTCAAAGAAAAATTGCACTAGACAAATTAAATAGGCAAAGAAGATTTTATTCAAAATTATTGCAATAAAGGAGAGAGATTGAATTCAACTCCCCTGAAACAAAAGGTAGGAGGATTTTTAAGTGCTGGATTGAGCTAGTTGGAAAGATACTAGAGGACCTTAGAGAGTAGGTTGATCAATGTGATTGGGTATGTGATGTGTTTGCTAATTGTCACTTATCTAAGTTATCTAAGTTAGACTCCTGGATCTTATCTAAGTTAGACTCCTAGATCTCCCACAAGGATTGAGCCATAGGTGACTATCTTCCTTGCTGATTACATTTCAAAGAGATGGCCTTTAGAAAGACATTCATGGGTTATGAAACTGACAAGATGCTAGGAGAAGATTTCCATTTCACAGGAGCAGAGACAATTTACAACTGAAAGTTTTCTAAAGTGAATGCTCTAAGAAAAGGGAGGTCAGGGGCCTATAGCCAGGAAGACACCTGTCTAAAATTTCACCAAACTGAAGAGATTGCTCAGGTCATCTTGGTCATGTGGGCCTTAAATTCAATGACAGTATTCTTATATTGCTATAAGAAGTGTCAGGAGAAGACACACAGAGTCACAGAAGGGAAAGGCCATGTGAAGACAGAGAGAGAGATGGAAGTGATGTGTCTACGAGCCAAGGAATACCAAGGATTGCTAACAACCACTGGAAGCTAAGATGTAAGGAATGGATTTTCTCCAAAACTTCTAGAGGAACAAAAGCTGCCAGCACCTTGATTTGGTATTTTTGGCCTCCAGAGCCATGAGAGAATGAATTTCTGTTTTGCTAAGCCTCCAAGTTTGTGGTAATTTGTTAAAGCTGTCCTAAAAAATTAATACACCATCTTTCTGGAAATGTCTCTCACCACTTCCCATTTAACTGAAAACACAAAATTCTACATCTCATTTAATGCTTGACAAAACTGTCTTATCCCCCATTCCTTTTTCTTATAATTGATAGTACCAGCTAGAAGCCATGGCTTTCTCCTTTGAATTCTTTAGATAGTGGAGACGGTAAAGATATTGCACCTGAAATTTGCTTAGTGTTTTATTCATGTCTAATCCCTTTTTAATCCTTGTGAAAACGTAATAAGGCAGGTGCTATTATTTTTCTATATTAAGAATAAAGGAACTGAAGAACAGAGGGATTAAATAACACTAAATGACAGAACTAAAATCTGCTTCAAGATCTGCCTGAGTACAGGGCCCATGTGCTCAAACATTTTACTGTTTGTTTTTTATTTATGTCACTGAATGTTTACCACTTTCTTGTCTCATGTTCTCTCGTATTATAGTTACCTGTGAGTTTTCATCGTCTGGTGCAAATTATTCAACTGAGGTAACTAGAAATCACAGGTGCACGAGGATATCCACTTACTTTTCCCATTTGAAAGGTCTTTTGACATTATGTCACTTGCATTTTTAAAAATTTAAACACATTAGTTACGAAAAAAATTTTAGGCAACTTGCTTGAATACTTTTAACTTTTATATGATTTTAAGATTATGTCTTGTTTATCTTTTCACAGCATTTAACACAATTCTTTGAATACCAAAAGTGTGTACATTTCATTGAATAAATATCTTAAGTCTCAGCCTCTGTGTGTCCCCCAATGTCCCAGCTTCCTAGGGTCGTATTTCTCTTTAATACAGTACTCTGATAGATTGATGAGAGGCCCTACTCTGCATGCAGTCAGAAGCTTAGTGCTCTTCTGCCGCACAGCACTTCTGAATATTATATTCTGGGAGGGAGCTCCATTGCCCCTCGTTGCCTGTCACTTCTATTGTTCTCCTTTGAACTTCTGCTGTCAACTCTACTCTGCAACTTGTCTCCTGAGATTGCCATCTTGCTATATGAGATACTACTCTACTGACACAAAAGTGTTGTATGGTAGACTCTTATTTGATGGCTTGGAAAATAAAAGGGATGAAAGCATATCATAGCCTTCATTTATTCATTCAATCATTCAGCAAACATACAAACATTCATTGAGTGTCCAGTGGCACTGTGCTTGGCACTGAGGGGACAATGACAAGCAATGAGGTAAAAGTCTCCACGATCACGTAGCTCATACTCTAGTTAGGAAAACCTATGACTTACACAGACACATCACAACTGTGGAATTACAACTGAGGTAAGCATAACGAAAGAAATGTCCACGGTGGATTGAGAGCCATGGTAGTGGGCTTGAACTGAGTAGGATGAGTAGGCAGTAACCATCCTTGCAGCAGGGATGGAGGAGGAGAAAAGCGTTAGAGAAAGAAATGACAGCCTGTGCAAACAATCAATAGTGGGGTGGAACAATTTGCAATCCAGCAACTGCAAGAAAGCCTGTGCATTAGGGATGCACAGACTCAAGCAAAGTAAGGAGAGAAATAAGTCTGGAGAAACCATGCAAAGCCACTTTAACAAATGCACAGTCTACTTCAGGGTTCCTTAACAAACATGATCATAATCCTGAAGTTTATGGGATAATATTGAGTAGTTTGATATAGGAGATTGACATGATCCACTTTGTACTTTGAAAAAAAAGATCTGGCTACTTTTTAGAGACAAGAATAAAGTGGGTATGGAATGGTGTATACAGAGATTCCAAACATGAGACCTTCATTCAGGTGAGAGATGATGATGGTTTCACCTAGGGAAGAAATAGTGGAGATGAAGATAAAGGGAATTTTTTAAAGAATCCTTTAGCACAGAATAGAACAACAGGACCTGGTGAAATGAGGGGTGCAAGGGGTGTTAAGAATGTAGAGCTTACTGGAATGATATAGGCAGCAACTTGAAAAAATTAATGTTAGACATTCCAGTCTTAAAAATTAATCAGACTTTTTTGGATGTGGAAATTTCTCACTAGCTGTCTCTCTTTGGGTTCTTCCCTAAGACTTTCTCCTCTGTACCCACTTTTCCTCCCTCAAAATCGTCCTCTACCACCATCTCCTTTCTTTACATATTCCTAGACTCACATACTTTCTTCATAACTTTAATAGTAAAATTAGTGTGTGGATAATTTAAACTAAATCTCCCATAGCTTGTGGCCCAACTGCCAACAATTTCACTGAGCTATTGCTAAGCCATCTATCACAGTTACACCTTAGTAACACAGAGACCTTGGAGAACTATTGAAACCATATCGTTTTTAGCATATTTTAGATCAAATTCTTAGGTTTAGGCTTCCACCAGAACTTCCAGAATTGTGGAGCCATGTGTGGGGATGGGCACGTTCATCTCCCCACTGGGCACCGTCTCCTTCAGACTTCCTTAAGCCCTTCATAGTCTAGCATTTCATTTGCTACTGACTAGCAGCTGTAGTATTGACATCTGCTGAGAGAAGATTGCCTTTATATTATGTTCTAGTTTTAATGTAATATGGCATACCCTACTCTCAAAAATGTCAGTTTTAGTAACCCAAGATGGCTTATAGAAACTAAAAGGTAACTTACAGTAGACTACACTAAGTATGTTAACAATGTAGAATCAAAATGCTGAAAGAGTTGTGACTTACAAATCTGTCTATTTCCAGGGATGATAAATATTGATACCTAATGTTGGATCTGTTCTTATTTTCTTTTTAAGGGAGCATCCTTCTGTAACAGAACTTCCCATGTCTCCACATTCAGATTTCTTCACCAAGGCGGATAAAGAGTTGGCAAAAATCATTGACCATCATGTAAGTTTGATTTTTTTTAAAAACAAGCAGCAAAAGCTTTGTTCTTCAAAGGCACTTTGAATTATTAAGTGTAGTTCTGAGAGTGAAATATTAGCATGTGAAACTTAAAAGTAGAGCCCTGATTGGTCACTGCCAAACTGAATTATGTCTCATCATGTTATCTATTTACCTCAGTGCCTTTATTGGGTTACAGAAAATTTGGCCTTCTATCATTTGTGAAATACTAGCCCAGTCCTGTTTCCTGACTCAGTACTGATTTCTTGTGACAAGAGTCTGAGAGTGAACACTGAACACTGATTTCTTCTGCAGTGTAGTTCTAGTAACGGAACAAAAATCTTTTGGCTCAATTTTCAGTGACCATTCTTTACCCTTGACAGATCAGAAAGGTCGTTAATCACTCTGTTCTTACTATGAGTTAAACAAGCAGTGGCAATACAAGCCTATTCACATAAGACACTTTAATCCATTGTGCTATATTTAGTCAATAATTTCTTACCAAATGCACATCCTTTTATGTCTACTTCTTTTTAGAAGTAGACTTGGAGTAGGAGAGAAAGTACTTATTTTCTGTATTTTTCTTTGAATACAAAATGGATTCAATAATATATATAATGTATTTAAGTTAATTTTATCAATATTATCTATCAGATTGTAATTATATAACCAAGATTAATTTTTTCACATTCCATTTAATTAGTGTTTTTTTGATAAAGAATGAAGGATTATTTCATTACTGATCATGTTAAATAGTTATTTGCCACATAGTTAATATTTAAGCCACTCTAGCAATAGCTGTAAGTATTGGGTTTAGAGACTGACTGACACCTTGGAATCACAAAATGAGAGCTGTAATATTGTTCTATTATCCACCAATAAAGATTTTGCTAAACCAATATATCTTATACACAGTGCTTTCTCAAAAATTTCTAATGGTTTGTAAATTTCAACATCTACATTTTCCTACTCACATCAACTAAATCATAGATTATAAGAGAGAATAACTTGCTAACATTTATATATATACGTATATACACACATATACACACATGCATACATATACATACACATATATGTGGAAAAAATATAGATAGGTAGATATATTCAGGTAACTACTCTGGGCTGCCTAGAGCTAGTTAAAGAGACAGAGGACAGTATTTTGAGTGACAGAGAGAATACATTAGGACATTTTTTCTAACAACCATTATCTTTTCCTTTTTCTAAGGGTATAAGCATTATCTGAGTAATCACTGCCATGGGCCTGCTTATACTGTAGCTAAAGAAGGGTAAAGGAATCCTTTTTGAAAATATAGTTCAGAATTTATCCAAATTGTTTGATATGTGGCTAGCCTAATAAAATAGTAAGTAGTTCATAGTACTGATTTGGTAAGGTTTGCTGAAGTGTCTCTCTGAATATTATATTTTTAAAGAATTCATATAATATGTATCATTTCTTTTCAAATGGGTATGGCAATAGGGCTTTATACTTATACTTAACATTTCACAAAATGCTCTTATATTAATTAATTTAATCCTCACAGTAACACCATAAAACATTTATTTACCCATAAGAAAAATAAAATAGTTGTTTACAGTTCAGTTATTTGCTCAATGTTTTAAGGTCAGTAAATGACTGAGTCTATGCACAAAACCACATCTCTCTACTCAAAATTCCACTCTCCCTTTTACTTTTTCATAGATGCTTAAATTCTTGATTTATAATCCCTAACCAGAATTGGGGATGGGAGGGTGGGACCTGTAATATTGACAAAAAACAAAAGCACATCCCCATAGCTACAGGTATATTTTTCATTCTAAGCAACTGACTTTTGTTGAGTGGCTATAAAATTCAAGAAATAGGAAAAATACCTCGTTATTCAGCTGTTACAGAGGTACCTTGTACATTGCTGGTATTCCATAGCATGATGATTATCATCACTGAGTTAACGAATTGAATAAATCAGTAAATGGTGCTTCCATTTCCTATCAACTTCAATCATAATCATATCGACATCCTCCTAGCTACCATGACAGTAAAAATAGGTGAAAGTCCAGGAAATATAATGATTTACCCAAACTGAACTTGTTATGGTCAAGAAAAAGTTAACTTTGTTCTTAGCCTACTGAAGAGAGGAATTTTGATGAATTCCAGCCATACCAAATTCTAACTTTGCACCATAGTAATATGATACCCCTTCTTGGCTGCTGTGAAATGTATTGAAAGTTGTCTGGGAACAATTTTATGTTGTTTGGAAAACCGAAGAATTCGATTTTACCAACAGTTCTTAAGAATTAATTTTCTGTTGATTTTTCACAATGTAAAAAACAAAGTCATTAGATACATTGAAATCTCTCATATTAAGTAGATTAATGCTCTCTGTTTGTATTTATTATCATTATTACACCAACTCATACTTCTATGCTATAACATAAAATTGGTAGTTTTGTTAAACAATTAGGTTATTATTTAGTTTATTATATGAGAAAAATAATGTGTCTCAGTTGAGTATCATAGAACTTGTATAATAAACCAAAGCATGAATTTCAGCCTATGCCTGAAGATTCTGGATGTTTTGCATCAATTTTCTATATACTTCATACAAAAATGGTTTCTGAGAAACCAAACATACGAGTAATAACTATGTGTAGGTACGGTCTCAAGGTAAGTGCAGTTAACTTTTGTATTTCTTATATCATTAAAACTTAACTGGGGACAAAATAAGTGGATATGATATTATTATACTTTAATTTTTAATATTTACTCTAATACAAGTATGTTAGTATTTTACAAAATTTTATTGCCTTCAGCAAAGCCGAGTGACCTGATATGAACTTTTGAGTTCTGATTATTATTATTTGTATATCCCAGATGACAAATAGAAGTCACGATTCACAGCACTGGTATACAGTGTAATCTATAAACTAATTGACAGGTTGCTAGTCTCAGTCTGGTCATTTGTGTATATGCACGAGCTGAGGGAGACAAAAAGAGCAGTGTTGGCAGTGTCCTAATTAGGAGTTTCTAACATTTCATGCTGCGAGTCATTCTTCCCTGAAACTTTTACCCAGACTGAAAAGGGTTTACCATTTGTTTTTACCATGTCTCTCATTGAATGTGTTAGAAGGAGAAAAAAGTCCCTCAGGATGATGTTTGGTTGATTTATTGTCATTAGTTCCAACACTACTGCATACTCCTGAGACTCTTGCCTTCAGATATTTCGTTATCATCATGAATTAACATGGCCATTTGAGATGGACCTCTTAAAGTGTTTTTACTGATCTGCTGCATAGTAAGTTAGTCTGACCATTAATTTCATTTTCAACCTCATATGGAATAGTATTACAGTTTTTGCTTTTCTCTTTAATTTTTATTTTTTGTATTTTTATTTTGGTGTAGCTTTGTTTTTTGTATTATGACCCATGCTGTCATATAAATACCGATATTGATGAAGAAAGTAAAATCCTTTGGGATATAGAAATACAAAGCCTATTATCTCTTCTTTTCAATGATTTGTTATCTTTAAAAACTATTAAGAGGAAATTCTGTTTTGTGGGACTTATACACATTCTAATAGGTGGCACATATATTTTTACAGTACGAGAGAGTATAAAATTTCTGAGGAATGTCTGTGAAAAAAACTAAGAGGATAATTGGATAAGAATCTGCATTTTGAGAAGCTAAATTGATATACATATTTTTTTCATGGAAAATCATATGTAAATGAAGTTTTATTTCCATAACAGTGGCAGGAAGAACTAAAGGTCCGACAGAGAGAAGATGCAATATGTGAGGCCCAAGAACTTAAAGATAAAGAGTTAGAGAAGAAAAATCACTTCCAAGAAGTTATGAAGAAAAGAGAAGAGAAACTGCATAAGCAAACCAAACCCTACGAACTTCCTCCTAGGACTGAAGTACCTTCATTAGAAAAAAAAATGACACCCCAAAAAATTGAGGTCTACATGCCAGAAATTCATAACCCAAAAGATACCAAGAAAGCTATGTGTTAGGAGAATTTGTTTGTAATTAACTTGAGGCATTTTTTAGAAAAGAGCTGTTATTCTGGTGCAAGCTGTTTAATAGTCATTTCATAGTCCTAAATTAATAGTCAACTCTTAATCACACTTGAGTGAAGTGATTTCATCAGTTAAAAATTTCCAAGACAACAGCTAGTGCTTTTCTCAATCGATTATCTCATTATTGTACAGCATACTTGATAACTGATTCTCAGAGTGTTGATATTCATTGGATGGTCAGAAGAAAATGAATTGCAACTTAATTAATGAGTCCCTGTGTAAGAATTATTTCTTGAAAATAGAATGAAGAAAAGCCGATACTCCTGTAATCACTATTATTCAAATAAAAAAGTTATGAGACCTCTTTTGATTTGCATTTTAGAGTCAATTTATGCCAAACCCAACCCTGTATCAGAGACTTGAATTTGATAAATTATTGTGTATAAGCAAATCTAGAAAGGCCAGTTATCTTAGATTGGATTAGATGTCAGAGGAGAGTCCTGAGTGACAGTGGTTTTATTTTTCCCTTTGAGTCTGTGGATGATCCTGGAGGATCCAGTAGCAGCGATTGAAGGGATTCATTCATAAATCAGGAGTCATTTTATAAATGGCACTTCACTTCATCTGAAGCTCTCAGTCTATGGATAAGAGTCATGGTGTGGAGTTCTCGTGATGTCTTACATTTCTTTTCTGAAAAAAATAGATTAAAAACTATACCTCAGTTTCATGCAGGTAGCTTGGTAGTTCTCAAGAGACAGGTACTTTCTCAGGGGTATCAAACTCAAATGACTGCACAGATCAGGAAGGTAACATAAATCAGTGAAGGGGTCTAGGAAATACCTGTCCCATCTAAAGAAGGTTCCCACCACTCTACATTCCGAAATGTAAGCCCAGTATTGTTAGACAATCCAGTTTTTCAAGAAGAAACTTTCAAAAGGGATTATTTTCAAAAATCGAAACTGCTAAGTTTCGAAATGTTGACAAGTAATTTTTTTAAGAAAAACCACATTTTCAGGTTAAATTTGACACATGGGCCACAGTTTGTGACCTATATTATGTGAATTTAAGACATCGTTCTTTGTTTAAGATAATCCCACATGGCAGAAAACCGTTGGGAGCAGGTTCCTGTTTTGATTCCCTACATAACTAATTCAAACTTATGTTTTCCTTCCCAAACCTCTTATCTCATCCTTGTGTCCTCATACAGAGAATATGCAGGTTCTCGGGAATAATATCTTCCAATTCACCTTTCCACATTCCTTCATCCACCTTTGCTTTTTTCACGTGGAAAAAAAAAAATCTATCTTATAGAAAACCAGCCAGTCCCTTTTCTCTGAATCCTATCCCTTCCAGAATCTTCTTCCATCACCTGTTCACTATCTCCTTCTAAGTCTCTCCCCATTACTCACCAAACTACTCTCACATTATGGCCACTGGTGACATGAGCCTCACCAAACCCTGACTGTCCTTTTAGGTTGTAATCCTTCTATCAGTTTGTAGGGAGATGTAACCGCTGGACTGTAAGGTATAGGGAAGGGATTCTGGAAATCTAACAAGTACTACTTATAAGAATTTCAACAAATCCTGCTGTGTCAGCATCACCTTTATAGAAAGAAGGCTGGTGCCACCAATTTCTGAAACTTCCTGGCATTGTGAGGCATGATCTAGTCTGCCTTAAGGCTTCCCCACCACAGACTTAAGCTCATTTTTTCTCTGCTCTGCTTAGTCTGTTTCTACCTTTTCACCCTCTATCTAACTTCCACAGTTTTATTAATATTTCCAATGTGCTATTATCTTTTCTCCTTATGGATTCATGCCTTTAAAAAAACAAAACTTTTGCTATCATATTAGTGGTGGTTTGAAAGGGAGCAAATAAAAGAATCTATACATAGATCTATGGAGAGAGAAGGGGGATTATATTAATACTTTTATTTTTAAATTGTTCTTTAAAATCCTTAAAATTTGGCAACACATCTCTCATGGCCTTCCTCTTGTGTCTCCGATTCTCCTAAAATATTAGCAAAATTTGTGGCTTGTAGATCCAGGATCACGTTCTTGTTATGCCTTCTACCAGCTATGGAACATTAGCAAGTTCCTGAACCCATTTGCACTTCAGTTTACTCCTTTACAAAATGGACACAGTTTTTGTAAAGAGTGGTATTGGTAAGAAGCTAATTAGGAAAAAAAAAAAAGGAACCTGTAAGCCATTTTAACAGAGAGAATTTGTAAGGAATGTAAGGAATTGTTTTCAAAGATGTGAGAGAACTCAGAAAATGAAAGGGGACATAGAAATAACACAGAAACAGAAACTACAGGAAACTGGTACCACCTTGGGAGCAGAATCAGAAGAGATCAGGATTATTAGATTCTAGAGCATGTAGGCAGCACCTCACTCAGCGGGACTCAGATCTGTGATGGGGAGACGCTGCCCAGTTATTGCTGGTACTTCTGCGGGAGCACAGCATAACTGGCTCTGTAAGTGCAGGGCGAAATGGAAACTGGAACAAATTGTCTATTGCTGAAACCACACCACCAAGCAGAGCAAGAAAACAGGAGGAATCACATATTTGCTTCCTCCCCATCTTGGAACCCTTCCTCATATGCTTCCTGTTCTCTAGCATCACAAAGCAGAGGAAAAAAGGGTGGGTTTCAAGCTGAAATACACTAGTTAAATAACTGGAAAAATGTGTCAGCACAACAGTGAAAACATATTAGACTCTGCAGTGAAAGTTAACTCCCCCTTCCTTTCGTTAGCATCTTAGGCCTTTTTTCTGCAAGCTTTGCCAGGGCGCCCAAAAATAAATATATAT